TAACCTCTCAGTGAAGTTCTTAATGTTATCCCCTCAGTGAAGTTCCTAATGTTAATCTCTTAGTGAAGTTCTTAATGTTAATCTCCCCCTAACACACCCGTTTACATGTATGTGTATGTGTCTTTGTGTGTGTGTATATATATATATACTCACCTAATTGTGGTTGCAGAGGTCGAGTCATAGATCCTGGCCCCCACCTCTTCACTGGCCGCTACTAGGTCCACTCTCTCCCTGATCCAGGAGCTTTATCATACCTCTTCTGAAAGCTATGTACGGTTCCTGCCTTAACTACATCACTCTCCAGATTGTTCCACTTCCTGACAACTCTATTACTGAAGAAATACTTCCTAAAAACCCTTTGACTCATTTGAGTCTTCAACTTATAGTAATGACGCCTTGTTGCTGTGTCTCATCTCTGGAACATCCTGTCTTTGTCCACCTTGTATGTATGTATTCACCTAATTGTGGTTGCAGGGGTCGATTCATGGCTCCTGACCCCGTCTCTTCACTGCCCTCTACTGGGTCACTCTCCCCGCACCATGAGCGTTATCACACCTCCGCTTAAAGCTATGAATGGATCCTGCCTCCACTACATCGCTTTCCAACCTGTTCCACTTCCTGACTACTCTGTGACTGAAGAAATACTTCCTAACATCCCTGTGATTCATCTGTGTCTTCAGTTTCCAGCTGTGTCCCCTTGTTGTGTTCCATCTCTGGAACATTCTGTCTCTGTCCACCTTGTCAATTCTTCTCAGTATTTTATATATCGTTATCATGTCCCCCCTATCTCTTCTGTATTTCACTTTCGGCAGGTCAGGTGTGTGTGCGTGTGTGTGTGTGTGTACTCACCTATATGTACTCACCTATAAGAGGATGCAGGGGTCGAGTCATAGCTCCTAGCCCCGCCTCTTCACTGGTCGATACTAAGTCACTCTCTTCCTGCTCCATGAACTTTATCATACCTCTTCTTAAAGCTATATATGGATCCTGCCTCCACAACTTCATTTTCCAGACTATTCCACTTCCTGACAACTCTGTGATTGAAGAAATACTTCCTAACATCTCTGTGACTCATCTGAATATTCAGCTTCCAACTGTGACCTTTGGTCGCTGTGTCCCATCTCTTAAACATCTTATCACCTTGTCGATTCCTCTCAGTATTTTATATGTTGTCATCATGTCCTTCCTGTCCCTCCTGTCCTCCAATGTCGTCAGGTCAATTTCCCTTTACCTCCAGGACTAGTCTCTTTGCAAACCTTTGCACATTCTCAAATTTCCATACGTGCTTGGCTAGGTGTGGGCTCCAAATTGGTTCTGCATACTCTAATGTAGGCCTAACGTACACGTTGTACAGGGTCCTGAACGACTCCTTACTCAGGTGTCGGTGTGTGTGTGTGTGTGTGTGTGTGTGTGTGTGTGTGTGTGTGTGTGTGTGTGTGTGTGAGTGTGTGTGTGTGCTCACCTAGCTGTACTCACCTAGTTGAGGTTGCAGGGGTCGAGTCCAAGCTCCTGGCCCCGCCTCTTCACTGGTCGCTACTAGGTCACTCTCCCTGAACCATGAGCTTTATCGTACCTCTTCTTAAAGCTATGTATGGATCCTGCCTCTACTACATCGCTTCCCAAACTATTCCACTTCCTGACAATTCTGTGACTGAAGAAATAATTCCTAACATGCCTGTGATAAATCTGGGTCTTCAGCTTGCAACTGTGACCCCTTGTTGCTGTGTCCCATCTCTGAAACATCCTGTTTCTATCCACCTTGTCGATTCTTCTCAGCATTTTATATGTTATTATCATATCCTCCCTATCTCTTCTGTCCTCCAGTGTCATCATGTCGATTTCCCTTAACCTCTCCTTGTATGACATGCCCCTTAGCTCCGGGACTATTCTTGTTGTAAACCTGTGCACTTTCTCTAATTTCCATACGTGCTTGTCTAGGTGTGGGTTCCAAACTGGTGATGCACACTCCAATAAAGGCCTAACGTGAGATATCTGAATGCTATTCTTAGGTTTGCTAGGCGCCCATATGCTGCAGCAGTTATTTGATTGATGTGCGCCTCAGGTAATGTGCCCGCTGTTATACTCAGCCCAAGATCATTTTCTTGAGTGAGGTTTGTGGTTTCTGACCCCCTAGACTGTACTCAGTCTACAGTCAATCTTCATGACTTTGTACTTAGTGGGGTTGAACTCCAGGATCCAGTTTCTGGACCAGGTCTGCAGCCTGTCCAGATACCTTTGTAATTCTTCCTGGTCCTTGTCCGATTGAATTCTTCTCATCAACTTCATATCACCTGTAAACAAGGACACTTATGAGTCTATTCCTTCCGTCATGTCGTTCATATATATCAGAAACAGCACCGGTCCTAGGACTGACCTCTGCGGAACCCCGCTCATCACAGGCGCCCACTCAGACACCTGGTCACGTACCATGACTCACAGTTGTTTTCCCCACAGGTATTCCCTGATCCATTGCAGTACTTTCCCTGTTATCCTTGCCAGGTTCACCAGATTTTGCACTAATCTTTTGTGTTGATCTGTGTCAAACGCCTTCTTACAATCCAAGAAAACACAATCTACCCGCCCCCCCCCCTCTCTCTCTCTCTTGTCTATTTTCTGTCATCCTGCCATAGAACTCCAGTAACTTTGTGGCACAGGATTTCCCATCCCTGAAACCGCGCTGGTTGTCGTCGATAAGCTCTTTCCTTTCTAGATGTTTCACCATACTTCTGATAATCTTCTCCATGATTTTGTATACTATACATATCAGTGACACTGTTCTGTAGTTTAATGCTTCGTGTCTGACTCCTTTTTTAGAAATTGCTCTTTTCCATAACTCAGGTAGTCGCCATGTTTCGATAGATGTGTTCATGATTGTTGTTAGTGGCACACATAGCGGCATGGAGATGTCTCTGAAAGACTGAATGTTTGGACGTTCTAAGATATAATGCTCCAGTGTATGGCCCTGTCTCTGTCCAAACACACACACACACACTCTGTCCACACACACACACTTTATGTTATTGACATCTCCATACTTCTAGCCTAGCCTTAATCTAGCAGTAACATCATCTTGTAATCTACTGACCTTGTTACTTTCTCCAAAGGTATGTTTGATTTGACATATTACATTACGATGGATAATGGACTGCTAGTTGCTATATGTACTATCCTGCTTTTTTTCAAGCTCGTTTGCTAGTTCCTTTCTGACAGTTTTTCGCAAAAGTTCTGTTTGAAAAAAACTAAATTTTACTGAATATTCTCTTTATTTAATGTTTGTTTCGCTAGTTCATCAATTTTTTCCTGCTCCTGGAGGCCTGTGTGAGAGGTTATGCACAAAAGCTTAACTGTAATCCCTTAGTAATTTGTGCATATCTCTGCCTAGCTTCATACACAAGCATGCAATATTCAGGTCTCAGGGGTATTTACAGCAAGTGCGGTCGTAGTTTCCACAAGCTTGAGAGAACAAGTATGGCAAACAGTTAAGTTTGTAAAGTTCAAACGCAGTTATTAATTCTAAAATACCTCTGTATTATAGTAACATCTGGCTGGTTTACAGTAAACGCACTTCTTAAGTGCTTCCTTCACGTTCCCTTGATTGCTCTTACCCATCTGTACGATCGTTGTTTTGTATATGGTACTTTGTTATATATCATCGCAATAGGTTTGCTAGATGCTTCCTTCCCTTTTTTCCGCACCCATTGAGATATGTTGTATTCAGTTCTCTCAGTAAATTCATCACTCCTTTTTGATGTTTAGATATCGTTATGGCTTTTATTTTCGTTCCTGTCTCCTCTTTGAATACTTGATTTTTTTTTCTATATTCCTCATATTACTTTCTATCATCTTCCGTGAATGCTCCGTCTAACCCCTTCTTTTTTCACTGCTTGTTATATGATGAGTTCCTTCTTATATGGCTGTAGAGCAATTTTAATACGGATTTTGACTCTGACGGTATATTGCTCATAAACTTCTGTCCGGCCTTCCTTCCTATACTGGCGTACTTGTGTCAACCTAGTCTCATTATTTCTCTGTTTTCTGTTGTCTTCCTTGCTCCATACTTTATCTCTGCACACTCACACACCTTATATTGGCCTCTCTAAAGTTTAAGAATAAGTTGATTCATGGGGTCTCTGAGTTTTACTCTGTTACTCTTGACTGGTATGAATCTTCTTGTGACATATATACTAAGCCTCTCCATGAATAAAGAAGACAGTGACGCAGAGAAGCTTGATCTATGACAACGTTTTGTAGTATGTACAACCTTATAAAACTCTATATATAGCAAAATAAGACCATATAAAGGCTTCATCTACACCTGTGCCGTATCTTCATTGCTGTTGGCAGTAAGCTGTTACACCCTAGATCCATCCATCATGCAGGGGAATGTTTTCATTCAGCTTCCTTAACCCACTGAAGCTTATAAAATCTTTGAATTCATAGGTATTCTTGTCTAATATCACAATAAGATCACAGTAAACAGTTCATAGCTATTTGATAATGTGAGAAGTCACGAAAGTGCTTGGAATTTCACTATTCCTTCACAGTGGTTGTTTTGCATTGTCTAATATCATTCACTGATGCAATTCTTTTAGGTTGAATGCCAGATACAATCGTGATGGTGTACGTAACTATCTTGTACACAAGCTTACTTGAACATACAACACGTCAGAAAGTTCAATTAAATCTCAGGTCAAATGAAACAAGCCAATGCTTGCCTAATGACACCCTTTGGGCCATTGTAGGTGAGTGCAATGGCTACCTCTCGCCAGGTTAAGGTTACATGAAGAGGGAACAAAGGCACGCACCTGACGTCACCTCTGGAGGTGTAGGTGTAGATAGGTAATTGAGGTAGGTAGAGTATGAACCACCAATAGGAAACTCACACCGAGTCAAACATATCATGAAATTGGAGAAGGTGCAGTAGTTAAGAACATGACTTGTCCCAGGGCTATGGTGTGTATTTTATGAGATAGAAAGAGAAGAGTTCCTCAAAAACTCACCTGATGCCACCCCTGGAGGTGTTGTAGGTGAGGACGGTGGTTCCCCTGCGCCAGGTGACAGGATCGTGAGGGAACGGCACCTGTTCAATCAGGCAGGTGAGTTCAATCATGCTGCCGCTCTTGTAGTGTTTCTCCTGTACCTCTGTCCCTCTCTCATCCACCACCCTCGCCCGTGGAGCTTACAGGGGTGCAAAAGTGAAGTGAGGGAAAAGTGGAGGTGGGGGGGGGAGGTGTAAGGGTTAAGGAGGAGAGTGGGGAGGAGTTGTGGAGGGCGGGGCAGGGAAGAGATGAGAAAAATAGGGACAGTTGGGCGGGGCAAAAGAAAGTTGTAAGATTAGTAAGCTGATGCTTGGCTGCATATCTCTCGCTCTCTCTCTCTTTCTCTGTCTGTATGTCTGTGTGTCTGTCTGTCTGTCTGTCCGTCTGTCTGTCTGTCTCTGTCTCTCTCATTCTCTCTCTCTCTCTCTCTCTCTCCTCTCTCTCATCTCTTCTCTCTCTCTCTCTTCTCTCTCCCCTCTCTCTCTCTCTCTCTCTCCTCTCTCTCTCTCTCTCTCTCTCTCTCTCTGTCTCTCTCCACCCAACATAAACCCACCAACAAAAACACACACACACACTTGCCTACCCAGCAAGTAAATATAGATCCAGCTTCCTCACACAAAACATAATTATGCAGATTTGCGTCGACTGAGTGGGGCGCCAGGACCTCTGAGCAACTCTGGAGAAATATAGAAAGATAAGAGAGTACTTGTGGCTTACTGAGAGTGACAGTCAATGTATTTGGATGAAATAGTACCAGTGTCACACACTGACCTTTGTGAGAATACTGTGTCACACACTGACCTATGTGAGAATACTGTGTCACACACTGACCTTTGTGACAGTCAACGTATTTAGATGGAGAGAATACGTAAGTCTGAATGACAGCCAATGTACGTTCGTAACATTGGCGGTGTTGACGTGTACGATGGATGAGACAGCATCGACAGATCAAGGATTCACTGCTAACGCGGCAGATTGCATCAGGGATTACAAGTTCTACATAAAGCCAGGCATAGAGCCTTCGGGATTACCACACATCCAGTTATCAAAATATTCCGATTTTGTGTGTTGGGATGGCATCTGGCCAACGTAATCAATGATAGCTTGCCATGACCATGGAGGAACACACGAAGATAATTCATTTGCTTGAAGCTTGCACTACAATGACCACTCACCTCTGTGGTTTTGTCATGGTGAGAGGACATAGAAAGAGTGTGAGCGAATGTAGGCGAGAATATCACATCAGAGAAAGTAGGTGATGAAGGCTATGTTGTAAGAAGACCCTTCACAGTGATGATGGCTATACTATGAGAACCTTCACAGTGATGATGGCTATACTGTGAGAAGAACCTTCACAGTGATGATGGCTATACTGTGAGAAGAACCTTCACAGTGATGATGGCTATACTGTGAGAAGAACCTTCACAGTGAGGATGGCTAGGCTGTGAGAAGAACCTTCACAGTGATGATGGCTATACTGTGAGAAGAACCTTCACAGTGATGATGGCTATACTGTGAGAAGAACCTTCACAGTGATGATGGCTATACTGTGAGAAGAACCTTCACAGTCAGGATGGCTATGCTGTGAGAAGAACCTTCACAGTGATGATGGCTATACTGTGAGAAGAACCTTCACAGTGAGGATGGCTATGCTGTGAGAAGAACCTTCACAGTGATGATGGCTATACTGTGAGAAGAACCTTCACAGTGATGATGGCTATACTGTGAGAAGAACCTTCACAGTGATGATGGCTATACTGTGAGAAGAACCTTCACAGTGAGGATGGCTATGCTGTGAGAAGAACCTTCACAGTGATGATGGCTATACTGTGAGAAGAACCTTCACAGTGATGATGGCTATACTGTGAGAAGAACCTTCACAGTGAGGATGGCTATACTGTGAGAAGAACCTTCACAGTGATGATGGCTATACTGTGAGAAGAACCTTCACAGTGATGATGGCTATACTGTGAGAAGAACCTTCACAGTGATGATGGCTATACTGTAAGAACCTTCACAGTGAGGATGGCTATGCTGTGAGAAGAACCTTCACAGTGATGATGGCTATGCTGTGAAAGAACCTTCACAGTGATGATGGCTATACTGTGAGAAGAACCTTCACAGTGATGATGGCTATACTGTAAGAACCTTCACAGTGAGGATGGCTATGCTGTGAGAAGAACCTTCACAGTGATGATGGCTATGCTGTGAGAAGAACCTTCACAGTGATGATGGCTATACTGTGAGAAGAACCTTCACAGTGAGGATGGCTATGCTGTGAGAAGAACCTTCACAGTGATGATGGCTATACTGTGAGAAGAACCTTCACAGTGATGATGGCTATACTGTGAGAAGAACCTTCACAGTGATGATGGCTATACTGTAAGAACCTTCCACAGTGAGGATGGCTATGCTGTGAGAAGAACCTTCACAGTGATGATGGCTATGCTGTGAGAAGAACCTTCACAGTGATGATGGCTATACTGTGAGAAGAACCTTCACAGTGATGATGGCTATACTGTGAGAAGAACCTTCACAGTGATGATGGCTATACTGTAAGAACCTTCACAGTGAGGATGGCTATGCTGTGAGAAGAACCTTCACAGTGATGATGGCTATACTGTGAGAAGAACCTTCACAGTGATGATGGCTATACTGTGAGAAGAACCTTCACAGTGATGATGGCTATACTGTAAGAACCTTCACAGTGATGATGGCTATACTGTAAGAACCTTCACAGTGATGATGGCTATACTGTAAGAACCTTCACAGTGAGGATGGCTATACTGTAAGAACCTTCACAGTGATGATGGCTATACTGTGAGAAGAACCTTCACAGTGAGGATGGCTATGTTGTAAGAAGACCCTTCACAGTGATGATGGCTATACTGTGAGAAGAACCTTCACAGTGAGGATGGCTATACTGTAAGAACCTTCACAGTGATGATGGCTATACTGTGAGAAGAACCTTCACAGTGAGGATGGCTATGCTGTGAGAAGAACCTTCACAGTGAGGATGGCTATACTGTGAGAAGACCCTTCACAGTGAGGATGGCTATGCTGTGAGAAGAACCTTCACAGTGAGGATGGCTATACTGTGAGAAGAACCTTCACAGTGAGGATGGCTATGCTGTGAGAAGAACCTTCACAGTGAGGATGGCTATACTGTGAGAAGAACCTTCTCAGTGAGGATGGCTATGCTGTGAGAAGAACCTTCACAGTGAGGAGGCTATACTGTGAGAAGAACCTTCACATGAGGATGGCTATGCTGTGAGAAGAACCTTCACAGTGAGGATGGCTATACTGTGAGAAGAACCTTCACAGTGAGGATGGCTATGCTGTGAGAAGAACCTTCACAGTGAGGATGGCTATACTGTGAGAAGAACCTTCACAGTGATGATGGCTATACTGTGAGAAGAACCTTCACAGTGAGGATGGCTATACTGTGAGAAGAACCTTCACAGTGAGGATGGCTATACTGTGAGAAGGACCTTCACAGTGAGGATGGCTATACTGTGAGAAGAACCTTCACAGTGAGGATGGCTATGCTGTGAGAAGAACCTTCACATTGAGGATGGCTATGCTGTGAGAAGAACCTTCACAGTGAGGATGGCTATACTGTGAGAAGAACCTTCACAGTGAGGATGGCTATGCTGTGAGAAGAACCTTCACAGTGAGGATGGCTATTCTGTGAGAAGAGCCTTCACAGTGAGGATAGCTATGCTGTGAGAAGAACCTTCACAGTAAGGATGGCTATGCTGTGAGAAGAACCTTCACAGTGATGATGGCTATACTGTGAGAAAAACCTTCACAGTGAGGATGGCTATGCTGTGAGAAGAACCTTCACAGTGAGGATGGCTATACTGTGAGAAGAACCTTCACAGTGATGATGGCTATACTGTGAGAAGAACCTTCACAGTGAGGATGGCTATGCTGTGAGAAGAACCTTCACAGTGAGGATGGCTATACTGTGAGAAGAACCTTCACAGTGAGGATGGCTATTCTGTGAGAAGAGCCTTCACAGTGAGGATAGCTATGCTGTGAGAAGAACCTTCACAGTAAGGATGGCTATGCTGTGAGAAGAACCTTCACAGTGAGGATGGCTATGCTGTGAGAAGAACCTTCACAGTGAGGATGGCTATACTGTGAGAAGAACCTTCACAGTGATGATGGCTATACTGTGAGAAGAACCTTCACAGTGAGGATGGCTATGCTGTGAGAAGAACCTTCACAGTGAGGATGGCTATACTGTGAGAAGAACCTTCACAGTGAGGATGGCTATACTGTGAGAAGAACCTTCACAGTGAGGATGGCTATACTGTGAGAAGAACCTTCACAGTGAGGATGGCTATACTGTGAGAAGAACCTTCACAGTGAGGATGGCTATGCTGTGAAAAGAACCTTCACAGTGAGGATGGCTATACTGTGAGAAGAACCTTCACAGTGAGGATGGCTATGCTGTGAGAAGAACTTTCACAGTGAGGATGGCTATGCTGTGAGAAGAACTTTCACAGTGAGGATGGCTATGCTGTGAGAAGAACTTTCACAGTGAGGATGGCTATGCTGTGAGAAGAACTTTCACAGTGAGGATGGCTATGCTGTGAGAAGAACTTTCACAGTGAGGATGGCTATGCTGTGAGAAGAACCTTCACAGTGAGGATGGCTATACTGTCAGTACAGTAAACACTGTTTACGTTACTGTAATCCCTGAGTTCATCATACTTAACATGATTATTTATCCTTTTATATCCCTTTATGGGCAAGGGCGCGCCTTGATGGTAGTGAAGTGCTCTTACTCTAGCACATGGGAGCTACCAGTCCACTCCTTGGGTCAAACCTGATTACCTCTCAGTCCTCAGGAGATGTAGGACCCCTTGCGTTATAGCGCTTCCAATTAACAAATATTTTGTTTCCAAACTTCACCCCAGCACAGGTCCCACATTATTATTTACAGCAACAACTCCAAACGTCAATACTTCATCTTCTACAGCAGTGTCTTCCACTCAGTTTTCCTGTCTCAAAATCAGATCGACGGTAACATTAATCAAAATTCCTCAACATTTACCTAACTCGTAGACATTCTCTTTGTCCTTACTTCTGGCACATCCAGACTCAAACACCGACCCTTATATCCAACTTTTAAACTAAACTAAACAATTCTCTAATGATAATATTTATTACCTTATAGTTTACATACGTTCATTCACAAGTACCGCCACGGCATCTTTACTTCTCTCTCTTAGGTAAACTTTTCTAAATTCATTTACTACTTCCATTCAAACTCTTCCAACTTTTCTAATTAACTTTCTCATTCAGTTCTAGGACATCCAGTATTCTTTCATTCATAACATTCACAATATATTTACTCACAATAAAAACATGGTAAAAACTTACTTTTTTATCATTATCAAATCTATGAAAATATACAAGCATCTCCTTACACCAGGTATTTTAATTTTCCATGATACGCGAACCTACTGGGGGAGTATTTCACCTCGTCTTCCCGAAGGACAGAAAAGAAAAAATTGAAATCCATAAACAGGAAACATTTTACACACTGACCACTGATCCCACAACACGCACCTTGTGCTCAAGACATTGATGCCACAATAAACCTTATCGTATGTTCAAGACACTGACGCCACAACAAAACTCATCTTCTGTTCAAGACACTGATACCATAACTAAACTCATCATATGTTCAAGACACTAATACCACAATAAAAATCATCTTCTGCTCAAGACACTAATTCCACAACAGAAGACATGCTCAAGGTAGTGTTGCCTCAGGGAATCCTACAAGTTGCTTGCTCTAGCGCGTCCACAACTTTTAATCCGCTTCTCTCAAAACTACTCCTTCTCACATTAGAAGACATCTCTTTCTCTCACTTCCAAGACATACCTCTAAGACATATCTCCGTCTCATCTCGAAAAAAATTCTACCTCTCATAACCTCTTCAAGACATTTTGTTTCATCTTATCAACACATCATCTGCCAATCAGTGTAAGTGCATCGTCGGGACCAGAGTCATATTCTTGACGACATTATGCACTTCTTACCAATAACGTTGAGAGTAACAGCCAGCATCATGGGTGGTTCAGTGGCCAGCTGACAACGGTATTGTCCCTGATCCTCAAGCTGTGTATCTCGTATAACTAGCTGCCACTGCTGCCACCTGTCCCCCGACGACGGCACTAGAGAGTACCTGTAAACACACCAAAGATTTTTATTAGTGTTATTAAGTGGATAAAAGTGGCAAGATATGGTTAAAATGTATCACCAACTGGGAGCCATGCTGGACTTGAAACAAAGCCAGTCGCGATCTCATCAGAGTTACATATATTAAGAGCAACAGAAACGGCCCCCAGCACAGTAACAAACAATAAAACACCATTTGTGTTTGTGAATACGAGGTGTTAATCCAGTAACAACTACAGATACCGCTCATCAGTTGTCTCCTCACTGTGTTTACAGATGTTACAAAGACCCACGTGAAAAAGTTCTTTGACAGGGAAGTATGGACTCCTGGCTACAACCTAGTCAGATGTGGCCAGAAAAACAGGCAACAAGGGGATGCTGGTTTGTATGTTAAAGAGTCGCTCATATACAATGAGTTACTTAACATCACAAATGACGTAGTACAACTTTCAGCGGTTAAAATTAAAAAAAAAAATAAAAAACAAGTTGTTGCACTTGTATTAAAACACCCAGATATAACTTACCCGCAAATCAGAAACCAACAAATGAGTGTTGTCTGGAGCAACTTTTGAAACTGACCCACAAATATCCTATTGCTTAGTGATGTTAATACAAAAGATGAAGAATGGAAGAACGTAGCAAAGACTGTGATAGCAGAGAAAATCTCAGAGGTTAATTTTGCTGATAGGTCTTACACAGTCGAATAATTAATCTTCCTCAGTAAATTCGCCCTTAGCCATCAGACAGCACAAGCAACCAGACTAGGAAATATAATTAAGTTTATTTAGGTAGACAAAGTGACCTATTTCCTCATATTCACTAATAACGAGGATCTGATCCGGAACACACAGTGGTGTCGAAGACATCAGACTCACACTACATCCTACTCAAAGTTCAACCCTTAATGTACACTGGTCAGGAACAGCGAAACTCAGTCATGTCCGGGGCTTTAAAAAAAGTCACTTCAACAATATGACCATCATGTGAATATGAAAATGGTATACAATACCGACAAGTTGATAAGTAACACACATGTGCAACAGTTAGGTATTTTTATTCCGAAACGTTTAGCCTACACAGTAGACTTCTTCAGTCGAACGTAGAGGAGGCAGTAGCAGTAGAGATGTAAAGACGATGTAATTAGTCCATCACCCTCAAAGACGTAGTTTCGTGGTGATCAGTCCTTCAGCCTGGAGAAGAGTTCTGCTCCACAGTCTGGAGCAATGTGAAGCTGAAGCAACGGAATGGAGACTTATATACTGTCAAAGGTGAGGCGCAGAAAATCTTCATGACAGAGCTTCTCAAAGGCAGCAGACTTTCTGAAGAACAAAGGGAAACACTGGTTAAAGAATGGAAAATGTTGAGTCACATCGAGTTCAGGAGAGACAGAGGGAACAAAAAGATGTAAATGAAATCAGACGAAATCCAAAATACTTTTGTCATTTTAAAAATCCTGTGATATAACCACATCTAGTATCGAGCTCTTACTTATACAATGATAACGAAGGAATGTTTGAAATATTGAAGTCATAATACGATCCTCTTCATTGAGTTAGTAATCAGATTTACGACCCAAGAGAATTTTTCACGAATGAGACTCGGAACGCTGCGGAGATTTTCACGAAGAAGCCACTGATGACATGTCTTTGCACTCTGCCTCACCTCCGGACTTGTATAAATCCTTGTTCTTCCAAATAGCAAGAAATGTCTATCTCGTGCCTTAAATATTTTATGGAGAAAGAGCCTTGACACAGGTGGGAGGTGGCAGCAAAGAAAGATGCAAAAGAAAAAATATAGACCGATAGCACTAACATCACACATTTTTAAAATTCTGAAAGAGTTTAAAGAAGCAAGACTGCCAGTCAATGGAATCACAACAATTGTACAACCCTTAGGCAGTACGAGTTGAGTGGATCACTCAACCTTACGCAACTGCTAAACCAATACGACATTACCTATTCTTTGAATGTGCTTGAAGATAAACAAAATGCAGACTTAGTTTACTCTGACTAAGTGAAAGTCTTCGACAAGTGTGAATATCATAATGGTATACAATACCGACAAGTTGATAAGTCCGCGAAAGGTATCGGAAAAAAAGTTACCCAACTCTACACAGGTGTCTCACTTGTTAGCCTTCGACAAGTGTTACCATGTAGTAATAACGCACAAAATGCGGGCGAATGGAATAGCTGAAAAGTGAGAAGATAATCTGTAACTTCCTAATAGATGAAACCCAGAGAGCAATAGAAATCAAAGTGAAGTAGTGAAGCGGCCACTGTGAGAAGCTCTTTCCCGTTCTTATATCCAACATGGACAGGAACACAAGTTATAGCACTGTATACGATACAAAAATTTGTATGAGAGTGGCGTTTATCAAGGACAACAAACCTTCAAGCTAATACAAACCAAGTTTACCAGTGGGCTACTGATAACAATATATTGTTTAATGAGGACAAATTTCAGTCTCTCCACTGTGGAAAAAAAATGATGATATAAAAACTGAAATGAAGAACAGGAAAAACTCAAATTATTCAATTGAACAACAGTTTAGCTTAAGGGATTTGGGAGTGAAAGTGTCAGAGGATCTGAAATTCAAGGATTACAAATGCTATTATCATAACTGCCATATAAATAATAGGTTGAATAGCTAGAACATTCATAACTAAAGATATAGAGCTAATTATGATACTCTTTCAAGTCAATAATTTTCTCTAGTCTGTAATCTTGCTGTGCACAAACAGCTCCTCTACAAGGCAAGATAAATTGCAGAGGTGGAAACTGCACAAAGAACCTTCAATGCTTGTACAAATTTAATCAAGCAACTAAACTACTGGGAATGATTGAAGTATCTAGGAACACGAGAAAGATCATAATCTACACCTAGAAAATTCACGGTGGCTTCGTCTCAAATCTGCACACAGAAATGACTCCACATGAAAGTAATGTGTTTAAGAGATGGAGGAAAATAGCTCCAATGAAAAGCAGGGGAGAAATGAGTAAGCTTAGAGACTAATAAATAAATATAAAAAGACCAAGATTCTTCACTGTGCTTCCTTGGAGCATAAGGATAGTGTACAAAAAACCCCCTAGCTATCTTCATAGGGAAACTCGGCCTTCCCAAAGTCAGTTCCTGATCTGCAGAGTTGTGGTGAATATGCTGGACTGCGAGTTCGATTAGATCAGCAACTGGTAAGCCGGGTCTGGAGCCAGATCATGGCGAGCTGATACTCCGAAAATCAACTCCAGGTAGATTCCAGGTAAGCCTGGCGCTTGTGTATTGGCATCAGATTACGGAGGAGCAACAGACGTAGGTATTGTCATTGGTAGGCGGGATTAACCAGTGGAAGTAGCTCTAATTCTCCATCTTGTCGGTATTGTATACTCTCACTACATTCAAGACAAGGTACAGATGCCAATGAGGTGTCGTGCTTTGGTACGAATGAGAAAGAGAAAAGAGAGAGAGAGAGAGAGAGAGAGAGAGAGAGAGAGAGAGAGAGAGAGAGAGAGAGAGAGAGAGAGAGAGGATGACGGTGATTGTGAGAAAATTATATTTTGAAGTTATATTAATTGGACAAAAAGCGCCCCGGCACTATCAGGTATACCAAAAGGTGAAACTGGAGTCTAACAGTATTTAGACAGCAGAGACATAAATAATAGTTGTTGTCCTATCTCAATTAATATAAGGACCTAACAATTTATTCCTGCAGAAATAATATACATCGATGCTAGAAATGTATATGTGTGTGTGTGTGCTAAACATGCCACTAAAGGGTGAAAAACACTAGCTCAGGGCCTTTACGTAGTGGTGGTTTTGTATGTGCCGATAAGCTTTCTGCAGTGTTCCTCCAGTTTCATGTTTTTATTTTCTTTCAGGATAGGTCACGTGCATGACACACGTCCCTGCCTCTTGGAAAATCTTTTCCCCCAAAATACCTATTACAACTCTTGCAGTGTAACATATGACGTGTATATATATATATATATATATAATATATATATATATATATATATATATATATATATATATATATATATATATATTATATATATATATATATATATAAAACATATATATATATATATAAATATATATATTATATATATATATATATATATATATATATAATATATATATATATATATATATATATATATATATATATATAATATATATATATATATATATTTATATATATATATATATATATATATATATATATATATATATGTCGTGCAGAATATGTAAAACTGGTCAATTAGCAAGAACTCATTTAAAATTAAGTCCTTTCTGATATTTTCTTTAATACGTTTAAAGATATATTTTTTCATTAATGTTAATGTAAAAATTTTTAATTTTGCACCAAAAGAATCTTAGAAAACTTACCTAACTTTATTATAACAAGAACAATTTATTTTAGCCTAACCCAATTAAATATATTTTAAATACGTTTACAATAATTTAATACTAAACAAACACAGTGAAATATATTTTTTTCGTTAGGTTCAGAATGATTTTGGCGAAATTATTGCATACACAAATTTTCGCTTGTCCTATATGGCAAGATGAGCGTTGCTATTTAAGCCAAGATGGCAAGTTCTGCCTATTCGGCACGACATATATATATATATATATATATATGTCGTGCCGAATAGGCAGAAATTGCGATCTTGGCTTAAATAGCAACGCTAATCTTGCTATATAGGACAAGCGAAAATTTGTGTATGCAATAATTTCGCCAAAATAATTCTAAACTAACAAAAAAAATATATTTCACTGGTTTTTTTAGTATTAAATTACTGAAAAAAATCTAAAATTAAAATTTTGGGTTAGGCTAAAAAAATTGTTTTTGTTTAAAAGGTTTTAGGTAATTTTTCTAAGATTCTTTTGATGCAAAAATTAAAATTTTTACATTAAAAATTAATGAAAAAAATATATCTTTTTAACGTATAAAAGAAAAATTTTTGAAAGGGCTTTTTTTAAATGAGTTTTTGCTAATTGACCAGTTT